ATCTCTTCCCCGCGCTTCGGGAGATGAAAACGCATTCTTTACTCCCCGATTCTGGCCCCCACAATTCCAGTCCATCACATCTGCTTTGTGAGCTGCACTAATTAATGCACCAGTACATTTCTGGGTGCAATTCAACATGTTGGATATCAACTATAAAGACCTTCATGACATAGGGCCTGATTATTTGAGGAACCATCTGTTTTCCATAGTTTCTGCCCATACTATATAATCAGGTAAGGTCAGCATGGTTCAGGTCCCATTATTAAACAGTATCATCTGGTGAGACTGAGGAAGCAGGGCTTCTCTGTCACATCACCTGCCCTCTGGAAAAATGTGCCATCAGAGTCATATTTCTCCCCCCCCCCCGCCAATTTAGATGAACCCTCAAAACCTGGGTCTTTCTCTAGCTTTGGATAGAATGCAGGTGGACCCTATGGGAGATATTTGGTTTGGAAATGTTGGTATTTTTTCTGGAGAAAGAAAGAAAAAAAAGAAAAAGAAAGAACGAACAAACCTGCAACTCTGCTATGTTAAATACTCTAATCTCTTTCCTTTCTCTGCTCCTCTTCTTACAGGTCTTTCTTGCAATTATGGATATCTAAAAGAACTAGACAGAGTGGAGGGGGAGCCCCCCTCCCCACTCCATTTGTTGCTTTTTGGAAACTTTTTTTTCTGGACAGTAATATATTTTGTAAATTAAAAATGAAGAAATGAACTCTGACTTTATATTGATAAAGTTATTTATTTTTTTAAGAATCAAGCCTTAATAGCACAAAGATTCCCGTGGAAGCTACCCGAAACTTGGAAATTATGAACTTCTTGTGAAAAAAGAGCAAAGCGAGAGTTTGCAGAGCCTTATCTTGCTTAAAGGAACAGTTCAGTGGGAAATAACATGAGTTCTTTGGTGCCTGATTGTACCTTGAAGTGTCGATCACTACAGCATGCTTTAGATATTGTTTCAGTAGTGACTCGGGGAAGTGAAGGTCAGATCAAAGCCTTTCTCACTTCTCATTGCTATAATGCTGCAACAAGCAAGGATATGTTTGGCAGGAATGCCCTCCATATTGCCTCTTCCTGTGGTAAAAAGGGAGTGCTGGACTGGTTGGCAGAAACAAACGGAGTGGATTTGTTGGCAAAAGACAAGGAGTCGGGATGGACAGCGTTGCATCGTGGCATTTTCTATGGCCATATAGATTGTGCATGGTCATTACTAAAGGTATTTCACAGTTTTTATTAACATTATGAATCTGTGCCAAGCCTGATGTCTTGAGAAACCAAGCTGTAGGCAGAAGAAAATTTTGTATAAATGTTGGTTGCTTTGTTACGGGTCCCATATAGTTAATCATTTTTTTATCTGCACATAACTTTTAGATGTTTGCTGAAGTGCTAAATAAAGTCTAACTAGATTGGTCTATTGACAAAATATTTAAGCAAAAATCCCAGCCCCCCCCACCCAAATGCTGAAGAATTGAGAATGATTGGAAAGACATTTCTTTCCCAATCAAGTAAGCAAAGTAGAGAGATACATGAGCTAATAAACAATTCAGATTTGCTTATTTTTTGTCTGTTAAAATTGCTTTAAACTACAGAGTAATTCTAGATGGTGTTATGTAGGATATATCTGGTAGCTGCTTTATCAAATATCCCTACTTTATTGGTGTGGTAGTTGAATTTTACTTGCCATAAGAAGTGAAGGAAAACTAAAACCAAGCGTGAATGCATAAATGAAAAAAAAATTAGTACTAGTAGTTGGTCAAAATTTATTTCTGCAATTAATAAGGTGGGGGAATGTCTAGTCTGACATCATAGCTTGGGGGATGGGTTTGTACATTATTCTGTATGTGGATTATTATGGGTTTAGTACAGAGCTTCTAATTTTCTTAATTTCTTTTCCCCTTGCTTTCAGCATGGTGTGAACTTGTATGCTCAGGATAAAGAAGGCTTGTCTGCTTTGGATCTTGTCATGAAAGACAGGCCAGCCTTTGTTACCTTCAAGAATACAGGTTGGTCATTATAGTGAGAGGTTTGTTACGGACTTGAACAAAAACACAGAATTGTTTTTTGGCTGGTGTGAATAGATATCGTACTCAATGAATGCATTAAAAATATCTGTTGGATATAATAACAGTATCGCATTAAATGTTGTATATCCCTCCTTAGTATATCTGGTACTGAAGGCAGTTCTCATAATGTGTGGACACCATTAGATACTTTAACTTGTCCATTTTCAATACATTATGGTGGGTAGATGTCAGTTATTTGTGGGTGTATAATTTTGTTATAGTAATACATTGTAATACAATAATACAGATTAATATTCCTAAATGTTATTTTGGGAATACAAAAAAAAGCAGTGATGCCAACATTTAGCATTTGGTCTGCTCAAGCCAAGAGATAGTCTTTCTTTTGCCTTAAAACAGCAGTGTTTAATCATTCCAGTCTGAGGGTGTTGTTAAATCATCTGATATGTTTTGGAGCCATCATTATATATATATTATTGTTGCTGTTATTAAAACAGGTGAGGTTATAATCTACTCACTTTCCCTCAGCTTATGCTATATTAGCTTAGCATACTAAATCTACATTTTTGAACCCTTCCAAATTCTTAAATTACATTCTTTAAAAAAAAAAAATTTGGAGTAATCCATAGACTTTATCCAATAATAATGATAGCAACAACTATTATCATTACTACTATTTTATATGCCATCAAATGGTATATACTGATTTGTTCTTCTGAACGTGTATGGTCTGTTTCTAGGCTTATCTTCTTTGTAAAGTATGTTAATTTCAAATAAATTGCACTCCAAAAACACTGTTTGTTCTGTTTTGTAATAAAAAAGTAAAGGTTAGCTTTAATACCAGTTTGCCTTTGGGAGCATATCTTACAAAATACTGTATTTTTCCATCAATAAGATGCCCCCATGTACAAGACAACCCCCACTTTTCCAACCCAAA